GCTGTCGTCCCGCCGTCGCCGACGCCGCCACCGCCGCGGCCCAGAAACCCACATAGTGCCCCGCCACAACCGCAAACCAGCTGAACGGCGGGCCGGATGGGACCGCAGCAGACCCGCTGCAAGCCTCGCGACACCGTAGGGTCCCCACACACAATGGGGATGTCACACTGCACGACCCAGAGTCCCCACACGTGACAGATTCCACGCAGCGCATCCTGGGGTGCCAAACACTACTGAGATGCCACGAAACACGACCCTGGGTCCACACACGACCGGGACTCCTTGCAATATGACTCGAGGTCCCACACACGACGGGGACACCACACAACACACCCTGGGGTCCACACATGACAAGGACTCCACGTAATATGATGCAAGGTCTCACATAGGACAAGGATGTCTCACAACACCTTATGGGTTACTAGACATGTTAGGATAGCAACACCCCCCGAGACCCCACACAGGGGACAGACACCAAGCACCATGTCCCAGGCCCCCCACCTGATGCAGGTGCAGCGTGTGCACACGACTTGATTGGCGAGCAGCACAGACCAATGCATGACTGTGCACCCTGGTCCCCACCACATAGCAAGCAGGGCCACTAGCCAGCAGCTTCACCTCCCCACAGTCGCTGTACAGGACAGACACTCCACGAGGCAGGGGCTGTATGCCTGGACAGCCCTGCATCCAGGGAGCTGTGTCCTGTGCCCGCCAGCCAGGTTCCTTGGCGGAGGGAGCGGAGGTGTGGCTCAGGAACCTGGCCCCTTCATGCCTCAGGCCAGCCGGCGTGACCCTTACCTGCAGTCTCCCAGGCCCAAGAGCCACTTATGCATCATCAGGCTACCTGGGATGTGGCCACTGCCGGTCCTTCCACACACGGGCTGTGTCATGGGGGAGAGACAGAAAGCTCCTGGTGGAGGACGATCAGGTGCCCAAAATTGCACAGCCTGGCTGGGTGGCCCCCAGAGGAGCCGCATCCTGCAGAGGCCTGGGGCCGGGGACTCGAAATCAGTGACAGTTCTGGCTGTGCTCACCTCGAAGGCAGGAGGACGGTCCAGACAAGCTGGGCAGTAGCATCTTTTTGTCCACAACAAGAGCACACACATGGCCTGGACACTGAGGGACATGGGGACACCTCAGTGCTGGGCAGAGGCAATGGAGCCACACCCACTTCAGCCTGGGTGACCTTCAGCTTATCGCTCACTGCTCCTGCCTCCCCAGTGGAGGCTGGAACTGGCCCCAAACCAGTGCTCCTGGGGGGAGGGGGGAGGACACCTGCCCAGGAGACTGAGCGGGCATCTCTGCAGGCCTTGAAGTGCAGGCAGGTGTCTGGAGAGGCATCTAGGGTGAGCAGGTGACCCCACACCTGCGTGGCTGCAGACACAAGCAGGCACGTGGGGGGCCTGAGATGCAAGGTGCAGTGCTCCAGGCTTTAAAACCTGATCACTCCCCACCATGGACATAAACCTTCCCCCACCCTCTCCTGGGTCCTGGGGAGGTCCTCATCTTGTCATCGCTCCCACGCCAACAGCCAGCAGCCCCTGACACAAAGCTTCTCTGCACGAACACAAGAATACTAGAAAAAGGATGTTTAAAAACCAAAGCATTTGATTTTTTCAGAAATCTTTTTCTTCGCCCACAATTAGACCAAAAAAGTTTAACTTGCACCTGACACGTCAGCTCCTTGCACGTGGATTTGAATCCCGCACAGCCCAGGCCGCCCGTGACAGGAGGTTGTCACAGCAGAGGCCGGGTCTGGGAGGGTTTTCGGGCAGGCTCGGACTTCCTCCTGCTTCTTCAGCCAAGCGGCCACTGCCCCCACCCCCACGGGCCATGTGTGCTCCCCGTCCCTCTACACCCGCTGGCTTTGCAGGGCTCCAGGAAGGGGTCCCAGGAAGCGGCCAGCGGGGCCGGGGGGTGGGGGCAGTGCTGGAGAGTCCAGAGTCAAGGCAAAGTGGGGGTGCAGGGGTGGGTAGCGGGGGTAGGTGAGGGGCAAAGGGTCTCGAGGAGCCGGGAGGGGCAGCGGGCTGGTCTGAAAAACCTCACCGCCTCAGTGGACATTGAGGCCTCACCCCTTAAGATGCTGGAGTTTCTGGGAGCAACCGAGCGCTCCCCACCACCCCCCTGAGGGGGATCAAGGCAGCCACGCTAGCACAGAGCAAGCCAGGCCATCTTCCCCATGAACCTGGCTGGGGGGCTCCCTCTTGCTGGCCTTCCCCCCTCCACCCCATCCCTGTTCCATTCCTCACACTGTCCCGCTGTCATGGGTCAGGCACAGTGCCAGCAGGAGGAGGGACCAGGGTGCAGGCACAGCCACGCTGGGGGCTGGAGCAGGGACCCAGCGCGCCAGGCCCTGCCCACTCATGCCCCGGCTCTTGGCCCGCTGATGGGTGTGGGCAGTTGTCATGTGTGTGTTCACTCACAAGCACACGCTTGTGGAGCTCACCCCCTGCAGGCATGGAGCAGCTGGAAGGGGTCAAATTGTCCCCACGTAGCTTCCATCCACTGGGTGACTGGGAAGGAGCGACCACACTGCCAGCACAGGACTGAGACCCCATAGGTCCTGGGGAGGCCTCGAAGGGCCAGACACTGGCCGTGGAGCCGGCAGTGCTCCAGGACCAGTGACGAGGGGGCTGCCAGTGACAGGGAGCCCCTGGCCTCAGGAGGAGCCCCTGGGCTGGGAGGCTGAGGTCAGCAGGCCCCTCAGAGAGACCCTGGCAGAGACCCCAACAGACAGCTTGCCCCAGGTGGACTGGCTCTGCCCTCCCGGCCCCCACCTGCCCTGCTACCTCCTCTTTGGGAAACAGAAGGGAACACCTGGTCGCAGCCAGGCACAAACTGCCATTGTCAAGAGAGTGCTAAGATGTTGTTTTAAAACATTAAATCTGAAAACAAATTACTCAGGTAACATGAGCTTGATAAAAATGTAGAAAAGACTCTTGTCTTGGTGTGGGTTCCACCAACAGCAGACCCTGTGACAGAGGAGGGTACAAACGATTTGCCTGGGAGGCGATCCCAGGACACGCAGCTGGGGGTCAAGGAGGGGGACCGCAGGACACGGCAGTGTGCTGTGTCGCCTGTCACCCTCAGGCTCTTGGAGCTGGATCTTGGGGCACAGAGGGCAAGGGGACAGCCGCTGGAGCAAATAAGGGAACACATTACGGGGAACGAGGGTCAGCTTTCTCGCCATTAGAGATGCAATTCAGTGAGCCACGCGGTGCTGGGCGAGAGTCAGCAACACCTGCATGAACCTGTGCGCATAAACAGAAGAGCCACACGTGCACATGTGCTTGTACCAACCGCCGTATACTCCACAGCTCCATCCCGTCAGAGTCCCTGACAGGGGCGACACCCCAGCAGCTCCGAGCACACGGAGAACCCGCATCTTGGCTTCTAAATTCCATCCTCCACTGAAAGGAACTGGTCTCAGGGGGAGTCCCCGATGAGTTTGGAACCTCTCACTGTGCCGGGAAGTGTGGAAGGACTTAATGCATAACGGGGACGTGTCAAAGGGACACATGGATGCGCCAGAGGGCCCTCACGGGGAACCGGAGATCGTAATGATGCTCGTGGATTACGATGATGGAATGAAG